GCAAAGCAAAGAATAGATACTGCATTTCTATAAATGAAGGACAATTATCATCCATATAAAGATCAAAACTAGGTAGAATAAATAAAATATGAAGTGGTCAGAAAAAGATCATGGGAGAGAAGAACTGGGGCTATTGGGAAAACATTGCCAGTGCAGTTCTACAGTAATTAGTGTGGAACACTTTTTGTCTTGGGCCAGATTGCCACCAGAGGGAACTGTGTCCCAGTAGCAAGTGTGGCAGGAGTGCAAAGTGACTGAACAAAGTCTGCAGGGCCACCTATATCTCTCATGTAAACTTCATGCACCACTCATACACGTATGTACATACATACAAACACACCCTTCCTGTCCTATTCAGCTGATCCTTTTTAAATCTCCATGTTAGATGGTAGGGTATAAACCTCCCCACGCAATATCCCATGGCAGGGAACAAAATTCTTGCTGAAGGCTGAGAAGTTTCTTATTTCCAGTCAGCTTCTGATCAGAGGTAGCAGCTTTCCCTGCCTGATGAGGAACTTCCATGGGCCAGAGGTTCTCAGTGCCAACCATGGCCCTTTTGAATATTCCACCCAAACAGAATCATGAAATATTTCAGTAAAGCCAGCCACCCTGCCACACCAGCTCTCAGCAAGGCTTTTGTATCCCAGGATATCCTGATTAGCAAACTAGCTAAAAGTGGGCTAGATGGAGCACCCATCAGGCAAATCCACAGTTGGCTACAGAATCAGGCTCAAAGAGTGCTCATCAATTGCACCTTCCCAGCTGGGGAGAGGGAACAACAGGGGTACTGCAGGTTTCATTCTGGCCAACATTTTTATTGAAGTTTAATGATTTGGATGAGGAAAGATAGGGAACGCTGATCAAAGGTGTAAATGACACAAAATTGGGTGGAACACTTAATACCCCAAAAGACTAAAGCAAAATTCAAACTCTTGATAGACTGGAATGATGGACTGAAAGAAATGAAATTAAATAGGGACAAATGCCAAGTTCTACACCTAGGAAAAAGAAATCAAATGTATTGTTAAAAGATGGGGAATAGTTGGCTCAACAATACTGGAAGTGAGAAGGATCTTGGGATTGTTGAAGATCACAAGCTGAATATGAGTCAACCATGTGATGTGGTTGCAAAAAGGGCAAATGCTATTTTAGGCCGCGTTAATAGAAACATAGCTTCCAAATTACATGAATAGTTCCTTTTTACTAAGCACTGCTTAGGTCTCATTTGGAGTACTGCATCTATTTCTGGGCACCGTGGTTTAAGAAAGATGCAGACAAGCTGGAAAGGGTTCAGAGGAGGGCAACAAGAAAGATCTGGGGACTGGAAACAAAGCCCTATGAGGAGAGATTGAAAAAACTGGGCATGTTTAGCCTTGAGAAGACTGAGAGGAGATAGGATAGCACTCTTCAAGTACTTGAAAGATTGCCACAAAGAGACAAGCCAGGATCTCTTCTCAATCATCTTAGAGTACAGCACATGGAATAATGGGCTCAAGTTACAGGAGGCCAAATTCCAGATAGATACCAGGAAAATTCCCTGACTGTTAGAGCAACATGACAATGGAACCAATTACTTAGGGAGGTTGTTGGCTGCCCCATACTAGAGTCATTCAAGATGCAACTGGAGAACCATCTGAGAGGGATAGTTTAACTTGGAGTCCTGCATTGCACAGAGGACTGGAACTGGTGGCCCTTTTGGCCCCCTCCAACTCTAGCATTATATGATTCTATTAGTGTAGCTGTTACATGAAAATGGGATATTAAAAACAAACACATAAATAGTGGTATTATTCCAGGCAGTTGGTTCCTCACCCCATCTGATTTTGCTCCAGTTATGCTACTGTTACCACAAGGCACTTATTTAGCTTCATCAGCATAAGCATGCTGAGCAACCATGTATAGAAAATAATATGAGCAGAACCGGCTTGCATGTTTAGCATTTAGAACAGTGTGTGTTGTTGGACTGGGGCACTTAGAACATTTTGCATGGGCTAAACAGCCATCTTCAACCTGGTAATTCCAGATGATTTGAACTTTAATTTCCATCAGTCCCAGGAAACATGGCTGCCACTGAGGGGTGCTGAGAGTCATGGTCCAACATGCCTGGAAGACAGAGGTTAGGAAAGACTGGGCAACAGGATGATGACCAAAATTGCTCCAAAAGAGAGGAGTAAAATATAACAAAATTTAAAGAAGCCTGCTGATCACTGTCAGAGATATCTGTTCCACAGAAACAGGAATGGTTTGTTAATTGTATTTACTTGGCACATGGAGGTGTTTAGACTAGCAGAAAGCATGGCTTAATGCAGCCATCCTCAACCTGGTACTCTTCAGCTGTATTGGACTGCATGGCTGGGTATGTTGGGATCTATAGTCCAACACATCTGGAATATACCAGATTGAAGAAGGTGGATGCTGATGACCGAAGGAAGTACTTTCTAAGAGTTTATGTGTATGTCATGCACTGCTCTCTCAAGATGCAGAGAAACCCAGAGAGGGAGGTAGCAAATTTTTGCCTGAACACAAAATTTGTCTTTACTCATCACTGCCTGAAATTGTGTGCTATCCTGTGAAAACACTATGCCACAAGCATGCAACACTCTAGCCCGGGGAAAAGCAGGTTTTAGGTCTGAGGAATCTACTCTGATTTTCATTAGACTTCCAACTCAACCGTGCCCAGTGCAGAAGACACACACTCAGAATTAAACATTTCTGAGCCAGGAATTTGTTCCGGGTGCCAGAACTGAACTTTCAAACACATAGCATTCATCTTTTTCCCCCCACCATCCAAAAATTTATTTAATCGCGGCAGTATATACTGGAAGAGGGTCACTTTGTTGTTAGTAGTGTTAAAAAATAGGTATTAGAACACTTTGTGGACTTATTGCAAATCATCCAAAAACCTAATAGATTTGGATGTACCTTCTGCTCCCTCTGTTTTAGGTCATATTGATATCAGAACTGTATCTCAATATTTAAGCTTACTCAACATTTAGAATTTGTTGTGATGACTGACAATTCAGAACATTCCAAAGAGGTTGTGGAGACTCCGATTCACATACTTGCTTGGAATACTGTATATGTTACTAGATAGAAAATGGGTGAAGCCCTGTCACTGAAACAGCAAATGACTGAAGGCAAAAACAGAACACAGAACCCTAAAATCACTGCATCTTTTGTGCAATAGTAAACCATGCACTTTTCAACTTTAGGATCTAAGCATGCATATGAATGCCCTCCTCAAATGACCTCCTGTTATGCATTCAAAAAGACTGCACTCATATGACTAAAAGAGAATAATCCCAAATCCTTGATGCAGTAGCAAAAGTTTTTACAATTTCATGAGTCATATAGCTATTCTTGGAGATCCGAACCATTCCAGCAAGAGAATATTGCCTCAGGGCTAATACCAACTAAGGCAGGTGTGAAGATAGAGTATATCTATCCCAAAGCCAAGTTGGCCTTCAAATGTTTAGTCTTCAGTTCACTTTCTACAGCAGTCGTAACACAGCTCTTGAATTGATCATGAATAATGTCATTTTGTGCATTAATTTCTCACCATTCCTAGCAATGGGGAGGACGATCTTTCAGGTTCCTTGGAAATAAGCTCCTAAGAATAGAGTGCAGAAACTTGGAACTTAGGCTAACCTGGTGCCCCCCCAGATGAGTTGCTCTGGCTGAGAGTTGTTGTCCAAATACATTAGTGATGCCATGTTGGGGAAGGTTGTCCTACACACTAGTCCACCCTCTCAGACATCTGGTATTCTGGATTTTTGTACACTGATGGCTCTGCTTTGCACCATTGTATGGTGATGGTCTCTAATTTCCATTTTCAAAGCACTATTATTTATTAAGCAGCAAAACCAAAATGAGTGCAGAAAATGTAAGAGGTGAGCAAGATCCTATCCACAAACTCATACATGATTTTTTAGGAGACACATTTTTAAGCACCCTTCAAAGCCAGTCCTGCCATGAGTCACTTCGGTCAACAGATGGTGGGAGGTTGCAGGAAGGGACTGGAAGAGAGCGTTCTGAACCGTGAAGTCTTCTGCTTACCCCCTAAGTATTTAGGTGCAGTGGTAAACACTGTCCCATTGTCAGCATTGGAGAGACATTTAGATGCCAGTCCATTTGGCTTTTGTGCATTAAGCAGGAGCCTTCTTGTTCTTTGCCTCGGGCAAAATGCCTCCAGCCATTCCTGTCATTCCTTAGCACATGCAGCCAACTAATAGTTACTAAAGTGCAACTAGGTAATCTTGGACCTGGACCTACTACATGAAGCTGCCTGTCCATGCTTTTAAGGGCTCTCCACATTCCTGATGCCAGGGCAAAGCACACGAGCAAGAAACAGTTTGCCAACCTGGACGCATGCAGCTTTCCATTTTATTCTGAACCATGATTTGCATTTTATATCATCACAGTGCTGGGATAAAATGGTGCTTGCTCCTGCTTCCCTGATGCAAGCATTGTTTTGCTGTAGAAAGGGATAGCACATTCCAAAAGGGGAACAGCAAAATGTCCATCTCCCTACGCGCAGTGTTCCGACATAGGACTACAGAATATTCAACCACCACCACCAACGTATACTGGGACGGCCACCCCACTGGGACCATGTGGAGGTCCGCTAGGCTGCAAGGGCCCGGGTTCGCCCCAAGCTCCCACTGCACCGCTTCGAGACCCAGTGTGGGAGAAAAGGAGGAGGAGGAGGCGGCCGCAGCGGGGAGTTTAGTCGGCCGCGTACAGCCGATGCGGTCCTGCGCGTTCCTCGCCCCGGTGCGGGCGCAGATGGCTCGCCCAGCTGCAGCCCTGGGTGGCGGCCGTGCAGCGAACGAGAAGTTCCGGCCGCGGATTTCGTGGGACTGTGAGTCCTCCCTGGCGGCAGTCGCTGGAAGCGTTTTCGGAGGGGGCGCGGATTGGGAGGCCGCTTCTGGCCAATGATGAGGAGGGCCGCTCTCCGGTGGCATGCATTTAAATGGGAGCCAGCGCGGCGCGCTTGCAAGTCGGAGGCAGCCGGAGCGAGCGTGCCCCCTCCGCCCAATGGGCTCTCGGAGCAGCCGCTCGCCTCAGTGAAGCGCCCCAGGCGGGAAGCGAACCTGTGGAGCAGCGATCGGCCAGCAGGTGAGGTGACAGTGGGCAGGAAGGAAGGAAGTGGGCAGCTTCACGGCCGGGTGGGAAGGATGTGGCTGGCGTTTTGCTCTGAGGAGAGCCGTTGCTTTTACTCTCGAGTAAAGCCATCGGGGTCGGTAGGATTACTCTTGGCGTAAGACGAACCTCTCCATTCTGGGAAAGGGAGCTTGGCGGCTTTATTGCAAGGTAAATTATTTCGAGTCATGAAGACTGCTATTGGAAGAGGGGCATACTTTTCCTGGGGCAAGTGGTAGGTAGGGCCTCTGATTTCACGAAATTTACGTCTCGTGGAAGCCCAAATCTCTACATTGGAGAAAATCCGTTGAAGCCTATAAAACTACTACGAGATACCAAATCATGATTGGAAACAATTTAGTCTGGAGAACGGCTACCAGGCGCGAGTCAGTTAATCTGTTCTGAGGAAGCGTATGCTGTTGGCTTTATTCCGGAATAGATGTTGCTTAAACGGGTTTCAAAGGTGCTGCTTTTACATGCAGCGCTTGATATAATTTACTTGGAAGCGAGTAATTTACTTGGAAACTACTCATTTTCCTGGGACTTGCTCCCCAGTAGATGCTTATAGGACATTTTGCCAAAGTTTTGTATTTCTGCGTGTGAGATTATAATGTTGAAAAATACACCAAAATGGACCGCAGTTCTGCACTGTTTCACATGAATGCTCCTACTCGAGATTTCAAAGTGCATTTGCTTGAGAACACTTCTTAAAATACGTTCTATGTGAATATGACACTAACCGCGTGATCCTACGCGTGCTTGTTCGGGAGCAGTTCCTTTTGGGCTTGCTCCCAACTCAGCACAAAGTCCAGTATACTCCGTTCTTGGAGTAGACCTATTGAAATTAATAGCACTAACTTGAACGCATTCATTTCACTGGATCTACTCTAAGTGAGATTTTTGTTCGATTTTATTCTCTGTGCAAGTCTGCCTTTTCTCTGAGTATCTTTCTGCACCTCCTAATGCAACAGTACAATCTATCGTGAGCCTTACCATTTTAAAAATCGGCTTTCTTCTGTGTCCTACGGACTGGGATGCTGATTTGTCTTGTTTGCGCTGTGGTTCGGCCGCTTAATTAATCAATTAATTATGCAGACTGCCTAAAAATGTTTACAGCAGCGTGGAGTTTCAGGCGGGATTGGGGGCAGGGGTAGATAAAGGCATTAATTAGGGTGTGATTGGTGCAGCAAAATTCTTGGGTGTCCAGAAGCAAACGTTTGGAGTCAAATACACAGAGTTTTACTCCGAATAGTTCCCATAATTTCGGGTCCAAGAGATTATGTCTGGCGACGCAGTTGCTGGCAGCGTGTTAGCCATTAAGGCTGGTCATAACCGAGACGGGCAGAATCCGTCGTTTACTCGCTTGGTGCTGAGCTGTTGTCTCCCCGCAGTGCGCCGCAACTCGGCGGGCGCGGATCAGCAGCCCTCGGCCAGCTGCGCTGCAAAGCCGGATGGGTCGCGGCCGCCCCAGCAGCGCTTCATTGCGTGGGCGGCGAACTTCGGCTGCGCGGCTCTTGCGGGCCTGGGTGGCGGCTGTGCGCGCCTCGCCTTCGACTGCAGCCTCTTTCTCGGCGGGGGCAACGTGGAGGCCCAGAATTTGGATGCGTAAAATTGCCATCAGCTGCAGCCCCCAAAGACGATGGGGAGGTAGAATGGGAATTGTAGGTTAAAGTTGTCCACTGCTGCGGGATGCTTTTTTCCAACGAAGTTGGACTTCAGGGTACTTTCTGTCTCTCGTGGTAGGAAGGAACCCACAGACCCCAAGCCGCCACCAAACACTTCGCCCAGTCTCACCTCCTTGCTTTGTATGTTTTCCAGACTTGGCCCTTAGGCGCAAGTCCTAAGCAACCAGGCTGACACAGATGCCCATCTCCAAGTAGGCCTGAGCTTGAATCTGTAGCTTCAAGCCTTCAGGAAACTGAGGGCTGGGAGACTGCTGGGTTATCCGTGGTGAGGTTCGTCCTGTGCATTCCTCAAGGAGCAACTTGCTAAAAGGGCATCTTTGAGAAGAGAAGGCCTGGTGTAATGGTTTTCACGGGACAAGCTAAACACCTCTGTAGTTCTGTCTGTATCTTCTGCACATTGCATGCACCCAGCTGTTCTAGGAGGCAGATTCAGGGGTAAAGGGCAGCAAGGGAGAAGCCCTCCCATTTGAAGAGGCAGGAAGAGTTTCGATTTGGCCAGTATCAATGCCTGCCCTTCTGTTGTATCCTTCCCCCCACCATGCCCCACAACATATCTTTTTATAAAACGGTGAAAAATGGAAAAAGTGGTGGGAAAGCATGGCAGGCTTGCAAGCAGAAGGCAGTATTTTCAGGACTCCACACCATAAAGTTTCATGAATGAGGCAGGCTGATTGCACAGTAAGAAGCCTCATGTGGACGCTCCTAAAGGCTGAGCTCCTGAAAAATGGGGGGGGGGGGTGTTCCTTGAAGCAAATCCTGGAAAAGAGAAATACTGTTCTGCTATAGACAAAGGACCCTTATTTTAGTAGAGGAAAGGTTGCACTAAAAAATGGATGGTTGCAGTATATAAAACACTCAACATACTTGAGTGATGATCATTAAGATTGTTTGTGGAACCCTTTTAGCAACCTTTTCAAAAAATATTGAGACAAGGGGGTATAGCAGGATCTGCTTCTTAGAAAAGAAAGTGCTCTGTTTTCAGAAGGACCGTCTTTCCAGTTTTGGGAATCTCCCAACACATGGCAATTTGCTTGATTCTTCAGGGTTCTTCTGATTCTGACCTCACCTGCATAATACAGCAGCAGCCGCCCATTTTGAATTAATTTATCCACAAGAAACTGTGGTGTGTACCCTTTGACATTATGAATATGAATTTCTCAGCTAGGGCTTGTTATGGCTTGTTGCATTATCTGAAGACAGCTGATGAAAATTATTTGAAGGTTAAACAACCCTTGCATAACCTAGTAACTAACCCCCAATAGGCTATCCTGTTAGGTGAATCAACCCATTGTATAGTGTTTCCAGAGCCTTACAAGGGTTATTCTGGAAAGGAGGGAGCAGAGAAGTCCATTTTGACAGTGCAGATAATTAAGCATAAATCAGGATACAATGCAAGTTTCAGTTGCAGCAGGGATGCAGAACCTCTTTCAGCCTGAGGGATGAGTTGAGCTTCAGAGAACTTTCAGTGACTACATACATTGGGGATGGGGCCAAAGGCAAAATTAGGGACCCAAAAGAAAAAGGGGTCAGTTTAAAGAACCCACAAATATCTTTAGTTTAAATCTCTTGCTATCAGTAGCTAATCCTTAGGAGAAGTATTTCAACCTTCATGAACGGAGGAAAAGCAGGTTAGATCTGTGCAGCTTTCTCTGACAGCTAATACACCAAATGATCAGTTTTTCACCATTAATCTTTCCTACTTCCAGAACACTCCAAAATAATTAAAAATGCAGACCATTTATCGGGGTGGCCAAGCTGAGGCTTGCGAGCTGCATGTGGCTCTTCGTTTATTTTGCAGCTTGCTGTCTGCAGGCACCTGGTTGCTGCTTCCTGCTGCCTCTGCCTGCAGGCTGCCACTCGCCAACCACGGCTGCCACCCCTGGGCACCCACTTGTAGCTGTCAAACACGTGACATTGACTGTATGTGGCTCTTCCATCGAGCAAGTCTGACCACCCATGCAATGTATTATAGAAATTCTCATGAGTTAAGAACACTAGTCTCCTCTCCATCTAAGAATGCTCTGCTTCACCAACCCATGCATGCTTTTTTTTAGGTTTTTGTGTATATGCTACTATTATAATAGCAACTTCATTGGTATTCTTGGGCTGTGATCCTGTAACACTTACCCTGAGTGTAATTCCTATCAAACAATGAATCAGTTGTATGACATAACAGCCTCTCATGGGTTAAACCATCAGTGTGAACTGTTGTGTCAGATGACCAGCTTTCCATTGGGTGTCATGACATACGAACCCCTATCCCTGTGCTAGGGGTAGCTGGAGTGTTAGGAAAAGCCATTACTACTTTAAGGGTTGCTTAACAGCAGAGAGTGTTCTAGTTCAGGAGTGAGAACTACACCAAAAATACTTTCAGGAATGGAATCTTGGTAGGAAAGTTTTTCCCTAAAAATCTGTACTTTGGGTTTCTATTGATCCTGAAAAGGAATTATTCTTACTATTGGCTTCATGTTATGTTTACTATTTTGACATTGGAAAGCAGCACACCACTGAACATTCAGGAAAGAATGTGTGTTTTCCCAAGAACATGAAAAAGAATCTACTTGCATAATGGAATCATTAGTCATCACTTTTACTAAAAGACTCTCTCTGACACTAAATCGGAGCATTCAGCACATGTGTAGCAGCTCTTAATTCTTGTCACCAAGCACATTAGCTCAGTCCAGCATCTATTTGGCAGGTAGCATTTCTCCTTAAGAGTTGACTATTGCTGGGAAGTAACAAAGTAAAAATGTATCTCTAGGTACACTTGTATGCACATTTATGGTTGCATAGACAGTAAGCAAAATTGTGCCTTTACTGGGATTGTGCCTTTATTTTATTAAACTGGTTTTTCTGCCTTTCTTTTGCTGGAACTTGGGAACCACCCTTGGATCAGGCCTCATTTCTGGAGAAGCATATTAGAGCTGATGGATCCTTTTATCAGCAACAATTGAGGTTCTTCCTACATCAAGAAGAGAAAAGATGGCCTTATAGTCAAGAAGAAAAGAAACAAAATGACCTAGTTTAAATGTACAAAAGTAATGGACAATGAAATGACTTGTGACTAATACATAGATTGCAAATAATAGCATATACACCTTGGACAGCATCCAACTGTGTTATTTCTGTAATACAAATGATGTTGTGAAGCTAGGTTCTGAACGATGCACAAGGAGATGCCAGCTAAAGTTACATTTGTAGAATTATGGTTGTGCTGAATACTTGCACAAGCATAATGAACAACTAAGGGTGCAATGGAAAGATTTGGGGGAGTCCCACTCTCACTATTTGAGTTTGTAGATTGACATTGTTGGACATTGTCCCATTATGCTATATGCATAAATCAAATTAATATGATAAACAGAACAGGAGATATGTGCTAATTATAAATCTATATTGTGATTTTACAGGATAATTTTAATGCCAGAGTTTATACAGTAAGGAAGGATCAATTTCAATTAAATCTTGACAGCTGTCAACATCGTAAAGATGAACATACAAATTTATAAGAAGAAAGTATCACAGTGACAATGCCAGTGTTAGAATGAAGTGCTAACTTGGGAACAGAAAAACAAACTGAAACTAAGAATAAGCTTTGTTCACTTACTCATGAATATCAGGAATGCAAAGAAAGATTGTATAAAAACATTTTCTCAAATCCAAGTTTATAAATGTTTTATGTGAAAAATAGTAAATTGCTTGGCCTAAATACCATTTTAGAAATGTATCCTGCAGGCCCTTTCTTGAAGGGAGTGGGCAAGTTGTGTTTGAACCAAGGATCTGCCCCTTGATATAGCTCTTCTATTCCACCAATTTCTTACTATGTGTAGATGCATGTACACCCCTCATCGGGCAAAAATTAGCTTATTGTATCTCATATTAGTCTTGGGGCTGCTAGGCTGAGGTCACCCTTCCTCATGCAGTTTTACTACCACAGCTACACTTCATTTATTTTATTTGAACTCCCTTAGGGTGAAATCCTGTATCCACATGGAGAGTCAGAGCCCCTCCTGCTGCCATCATAACTGGTGCAATTTTTCCCATGCTGGCTGCAACTCCAAGGCTGGAAGACCGATCTTGGAGCCAGTGGTTTGTTGCCATTTGCAGAAAAGGGGTAGAGTGAAGCTCTGTCACAGTACAATTTAGCCTCACTTTCTTCCCCCTGTGAAGTGGGGTTGTCTATGTCTTTTGTAGGGCAGAAGAAGTGTAGAGGCAGCCTTTGTCTCCACACTCCTTCATTGGATGCCAATAAAACTCTGAGTTCAGGGAGTTACAAGCAATCACACTGGATTTCATTGCCCCCCTTTTTAAAAACCCTCCGATACAAAGAACAGAACAGTAAAGGCAACAATATGATACAACAAAAACAATGAACATTAATAAAAAACAGTACTTGTAAAAGCCATTTAAAAGGTTAAGCTAAAATTTTATCTTTTAAAAGCAGAGTGATTGGTTCCCAGTTATATCTCTGAGGGGAGTACATTCCACAATGGGAGCAATGCAGGAGAAAGTATTCTCAGGTGTGTCCATCAATTAGACTTCTGCAAATGGTGATATCAGAAGAACCTCTCTGCAGATCTTAACTAGTTAGACAGGTTCATAGCAAGACAGATGGTCTCTTGGATATCCGGGCTGTAAATAATGTAGGATATTAAAGGTTAAGAACAACAACTTTCATTGAGTCTGGGAAACAAATGACAACAATGCAAATCTTTCAAGGTGGGCTGATTAGGATCTTAATACCACATATTGGTTAATAAACTAGTTGATGCACTTTGCACCCTTTAAAGCTTCTGGGTGCTCTTCATGAGTAGTTCTGGCTTACATGCATTGCCGAAGCCTAAGGCATGGGGTAGCTGTTGCCAAATGCAGAGTTATTCCAGTCAGCAGGCGTAGTGTTCTCCAGGCCTAGATGATGTTTCAGGAAATGTCTGAGCATGGGGCAAATCATATATCAACACTTGCTTTAAGAATTAGAATTATTTTTTTAGACTAATCTCTTAACCTTTTTCACTAAAGTGATCTCAGACATAGCTGGTGCAATGTCCATTTAAATAAATGGAACCAGAATTAATAGTTCCTCTGTAAGAGAAGGATTTAAAATTGTTTGGAATTGGGTAATGAAGCAATTACCATTGAAACAGATTACATCTGATTGGTCATTCTTAGAATATAGTAGATAAGGGTGAACTAAACCACCTTTTCTAGTGGCTCTTAACACTCTTATTTTTTATTCATTTGATGTCTTTGTTCTTTGGAACTGTAGTATTGATACAAGTGAGCAGTCATACATTGCTTGCAGTCTAAGCTGTGTAGCAGCAAGACCATGTTTGTGAATGTCTGAGGAAAATAAGCCCTGTTTTGACATAGTTAAATGTTTCCTTTTTCTTGTTTTCCTAATAGGGAATTGATAGTTTAAACTGCCAAAAGTGAAGAAAGGCAATAACTGTAACACTTCTATTAATTTGAGTGTTACTTGTTTTTGTAAATTGGTAAAAACTTTGTTGTATTTGTACCTTGCGTTAAAATTTAAAGATGACTTTAAATTGTGTTGTGCAGATATTGAAGCTTGGATATTAGGGTCAGCTTTCTGCAAAAGGTAGGGCTCTGCACCCCACATCACAGCTTACCTCATTCAGTAGAGAATCCTGGTTCTCTGTGTACATTTTCATGGGTACAGAGGATTCTGTGCCAAATTCAGGGTAAATCTGTTGCCAACCCTGCTAGAGATACAAGATAAATCTCTCATCTTTAAGAATTGCTCAAACTAAGAAACTTGGGAATAAACCTTATTTTCTGTCCACATCTTTCCTGAAGAGTAAAGTAGAGATAATGGGCAAGGATCTGTTGTGGGATACTTATAGTCATTGCCAACTCCTGTTTGCCCTGCTGATTTCCATCCACAAGTGGTGGATCACATCAACTCCATTGCACAACTGGGATCTGCTGCTTATACAAGATCACTTTAGTGCTTCTTAAGGGAAACCCCCAAATGTACAGAAACACCCATTTCTGGGAATAGGCATGCTGGCAGAGCTCCCTTAAGCAAGCCCTGCAGCCCAACCTTTTTCCAGAGGGGAACATTTCTGCCCCACCTAATCTGCTGTCCACGAGCAGCAGGGACCTCTTGCACAAGTGACTCATCAATGCATAACAGAATTGGTGATGGCATAAGATCCAGTTAGATTCTGTCCTACTACAGTGGTACCTTGGTTCATGAACTTAATCTGTTGGTTAATCAGTTGGATCACTCTGGTTGTGATCCAAATTGGTCATGAGCCAAGTTAAATTTCCCCATAAGGTTCAATGTAAATAAGGTTAATTCGTTCTGTAACCATTTTTTAAATCAGAAAAATGTGAAGCAAGGTTGTGGCCATCTCCCCCACCACCACCCCCAGCACGATCGCGGCCATCTCCCCACTCGGGGGTGGGGTGGGGAGATGGCCACGATTGTGCTGGTTTAGGGGGGATGGCCGAGATTGTGCCCGTCTTTCCTGCAGCAGCGCGCCCGTGATCACGCACATCTTCCCTGCACAAACGGAACTGCGATCGTGGCCATCTCCCCACTCGGGGGGGGGGGCAAGATGGCTGCGATCACAGTTGCTATCATGCAGGGAAGGTGTGCATGATCAGATGCGTGCTGCTGCAGGAAAGACAGGTACAGCACAGCCATGGGGGAGATGGCCGAGATTGCGCCCGTCTTTCCTGCAGGAGTGCGCCAGTGATCACACATGCCTTCCCTGCATGAAAGCAACTGTGATTGTGGCAATCTCTTCACTCGGGGGGTGGGGGGAGATGGCTGCAATCTTGGTCGCCACCCAAGAGTTTGTGACCCATGTCAAAATTTTAATGAAATTTTTGTTTGTGACCCAGTTTGTTTGTGAACCAAGGCATTCGTGAGCCGAGGTGTATGTAAATAAATGCTTTCTGGTAGTTAAGAAAACATATTGACTTGCAGTTTATAAAGTTAGCCCTTGCTAATCAACAAGTGATTCAGTGCTATATTCTTCACCAGTTTTATATAGAGTCAAGTGACTTGGGGGCAAATTGCAGCCAACATCTGTGTGTTGCTTGCTTTGCAGAACAACCAACATGGGGCACCTGTGCTGGACTGGGGATGTGGTGTGTGTGGGACAGGAGGGTCTCTAAGCCTTTGTTCCTGGTGTGATCCCAGTCCAGATCAGGCCTCAGTGTATCTGTTGTTTAATGGGAGGGTACACATTCCCATTTTAGCAAATGGGAGCTTTTCTCCTATGGAAACTGCAGGCATGGTGTCCAGTCCAGATTGGGAGCACAATAGGAGCCAAGGAGCTAAAGTTCCATGGCCCTGCTTCAGTTTGCCCTCATTCCCCAATCCTGCTGGCAATTTATGGAAGCAAAACTTCATGGACCACATGTAGGTTCAGTAGATGGGTCCATATTCCATAATAGGTGACTGGTACAAATGTTTACTCTTTGGATAACAGGCTTTTTTAGGAAGTTGAAAGACTCTCTTAAATTTCTTCACTTCTTGCTTGGAATGCATTGAATTCAGCCCTAAGTCCATTATTGTAAACCTGCCATGAAGGCAGGAAATTAGGCCAGTTGAGTCCATAAACAAGAGATGGGCTTCTGTGCTACCTCAGACTTGGCTTCCTCCAGGCAGCTGTAGCCTGGTTTAAACATACAGTAGGATGAGTAGGATGATTGATGGACTGTAAGACTTCAGGCAGGGAATACCATATTTGAATGCTCCTCTACTTTTTTTAAAAGAACAAAACTATTTGAAAATAGGAAGCTAGCACAAGGAGGATGATTCTCCTGTACTCTTTTTGCTTGCTGAGTTTTATTCATAGGAAGCAATACAAAATGAACAGCTTTGCTGGCTTCAGATGGTATAGTTCTCTCTACCTGTGAACTATTCTACCACCACCACATTTTTCTGCATGTATAGATCAGCTCTTAGTCCAGCTTCCAACTAGCAGGTTGTGTAAAGTATCAGAGCAAAGCATCATGCAGCTTCTGAGTTAAAATTTTGGATGATAACCTGTGAAATTGATAGTATTCCTTTCCATACTTTCTAGGATGGCTTGCACAGTTTCTACAGTTGGTGTTCTTCTTCTGTTTGGACTTCTGCTACCCACAGCAGAGGGGAATAAGAGAAACCGTGGATCACAAGGAGCCATTCCACCGCCTGACAAGGATCAGCCGAATAATTCTGAACAGACGCAACAGCCGCCACTCCCACCGCCCCAACCAGGCTCCAGACCCCGTGGAAAACAAAAAGCCAAAACCTCTGAAGAGGTGCTGGAGTCCAGCCAAGAGGCTCTGCACGTCACAGAGCGAAAGTACCTGAAACGGGACTGGTGTAAAACTCAGCCACTCAAGCAAACCATTCACGAGGAAGGCTGCAACAGCCAAACCATCATCAACAGATTCTGTTATGGCCAGTGCAATTCCTTCTACATCCCGAGGCATGTTCGCAGAGAGGAAGGCTCCTTCCAGTCCTGTTCCTTCTGCAAACCTAAGAAATTCACCACCATGTCAATTACACTAAACTGCCCAGAGCTGCAGCCCCCAAGGAAGAAAAAGAGGATCACCAGAGTGAAAGAATGCCGCTGTATATCCATAGACTTGGACTAGAAGGTGCTGTGTAGGATAGGCACCATCTGCTGCCCTTACCACCTTGAATACAGATGCCAGACCTGCTTATATACATCTGATGGAACACAAACCAAACAGAATCACAACAGACAATGCATGCTATCTGTGTGGGAGTGTGAGCTTCAACTATGAAGGCACATGTTTGGGGTCATACCATCACTTGAAATGCAAGTTGTCACTTACACCTTTAGTCCTATTCCTAGGTTCAGTATCTCACTAATTCACCTGTGTGCTGGGGTTTGTGCACTTGTGATTTGCCTCTTTCACCACAATCTATGCCATTGACTCTCATGATTTTCAATATTGGTTGTTAAAGGGGCATTAATGTATTTTTGATTTAGAGTTACTTTGTAAACCTTCCTTCCTCAGCCTGGTGTCTACCAGATGTGAATGACTGGGGGTGATGGGATTTGTAGTCCAGCCCATCTGGAGGGTGTCAGTTTAGGGGAGGCTATTCTAATGGAAATGATTAAAAGGGATGCAGAAGTAGACTGCTGCAGAAACAGCCATTGCGGGTAGAACTTTGTAAATGGTGTAGTAAAGAATGGAAATTAACATGATGAATTTTATTTGGATAGAAGACACATCCATAGCTTAGAGTTAAAAGGAAGAGGGATACAAAAAAGTAACAGGCAAGAGAAGGTCAAAGAAAGGAAGAGAACTTAAAGGATATAGAAAAGGCATTTCTGAAGGAATAGTATTTATCATAGGCTGTGATATTCTTTGAACTAATCATAACTGTTAAATTACACCATTGTGCTTTTTAGGGTGGCTGATGTCCTGAATCAGTAATACTTGTAAACAACCAATATATGTGTGAATGAATATATAGACCCTTTCTATACAGCCTGTCCAAAGCAAAACGCTAAAAAAGGCATTGTGATTCCACATGCAATAGACATACATTCTCTTTCTTGAGGGGTGGGGAAAGCTTTATCAGTACCCATCCATTTCCCCAGCTAATTTGTTGTTAGAGATCTGGATTTGCAGTGAACTGAGGTGATGGCTATTTTTTAAGTGCTGCATGGCTTAAGGGCGTTAAAGCCCTTAAGCCATGCAGTTCCTGTGTACCTTGGCTTGCTGCATTTCCTGGTGGTCATTACAACTCACACTAATGAGAAAGGAGGCACTGTTTGTATATAATTGAGATTCTTGTGAACACAGAGGCCATGCCTGCCAGGGTGTGTGACCAGCAGCATGGGCACATCCACTAACTCAACATTCGTTCCTTAAACTGTTGAGGAGTTTGCTTCGACACCCTTTTAAATAGCCCATGCAAATATGTGCCATTTATGAACAGCACGTGAGGAATTTTTTTCTTTGTTGGAATTAACTACCTAGACATTTTTAGGAGAGCCAAGTGTCTTCTAGAAGCATTCATCCTGTGCATTAGTACTTCCTGGGTCTTTTCCATTACAGGGTAAAAGAACATGGATCTGCAAGGGGAAAAATGTTTCCAAGTAGAATGGAAATTTTAGTCAGAGTCTGAAGGAGAACAATGGGATAGCACAGGAGCCTGCAAGCCTCCAAATGATATCGGACTACAGTCATGGCCAGTGGTAAGGGATGATGGGAACTGTAAGCCAACAACATCTGGGGGGCTGCGGATTATCCATCGCTGGCATAGAGGATGGGTACCATTAACTCATATTAACATTTTGTTTTAGTAGGAGCAAGGTTAGCTTTACTTTGCATGCAGGATTCACCCTGGGTGATTGATTTATGAGATGTTCTCACGACTCCATTATGTTTTATGCAGATACTGTGCTGCTTTCCATGCTGTCCGGATTTTGCATGAGCAATCACTTATTCCATTGTTGTCTATAAGTACTGGAACCACAGCTGGCCACCCTATAGTAAATCTTTAACATCTGCACAGCTTGTACTGTCAATGACCATGGACAACTGCCTGATTGTGCATTCAGGTGTATTTGCAGGAGGCTATCTTTCTGAATACTATTAACTGTTCCTGATTCATCCTGCCAGAAAAATGCACATATGCTCCTATTACAGTACAAATGCTTATCTGTACAGTGAAAACCAAGACCATTACAGTGAGAGGACCACCAAGTAACATGTTGGCTGAATTAGCACATAGATTGAAGCCACTCTTGTTTACAGGCAACAGCTATCAAACAAGTATCCTGCCATTACTTACTTTCTCTTAAGTGGCCCCATGCACTACAAGAGGAGGATACAACTTTCCTTTCATAAACCATCCCCCGTTCATCCAGTTAATTAATGTCAGAACAAGCAGTATGATCTATAGCCATATACCCATCAGCATCACAAAAGCACCTTTCTGTGTACAAATTTCTCCTGTTGGATTGGGGTGGATGTATTTTCTGTTCACTTTGTGACTTCATCTATACCACTAACAGATTTCAAATTTGTCCATTCATATTATCCAGATTTCTCACTGCACCATTTTATCTAGGTGTTTATCAGATTTCATTTCTTGCTAGGTTGATTTTAAAAGCCTGATTTCTAAGTTACAGGAAATAATTTCCACTGTGTGGAATGTGAATAGTTAAGCAGAAAGATATTTAAAGGTATTGTCATTTTCATTAGATCTGAATGGTTTCCTCTAACTATTTCTGACAGGTATTTAGGAGAAAACATTCCTTCTCTTTTTGAACTGTTGGGAACTTTATGTTGGTTCTTGCCTCTCTTCCTGTATTTGATACACAGCACACAACTGTATAGTTTTCTGTTCAAGTTGCTTTTGGAGCAAGGCTTGTAAAGTAATTAAGGTATATAATAATAATAAGTGGTTGTGCAAATATCAAAGAACCTTCAAACAAACAAAAAGCCCCTGTGGATTTTATATAAAGACCCTTTATTAATGGTTTTCTTGAAAGTAAAACAATCTGTCATGCAGAGAATTCAAATCAAATCATATGTATTTAACTCTGACCTTTTCTTTAAATGAAAGAACCAAAGCAGTTACGTTTTTCAGTAATGTTATATGACATTATGTAGAATGTCATAATGGAAACATTGGTTTAAAAAGAAAAACTTAATTGTGTTGCTTCTCAACAGTTTGTATGTCCATGTACTTAACACAACTAAGTAATAAATCTTCCAGCCTACCACTGTTTGTTTTGTTCCTTGTGACTCAGATAGCAGCTATAGACCAAAGAAAACAAAATATCAATGTTATTAGGCTCTGATTTAAAATGTGTAAATAAAGTTTGCTGGGGAATGGAATAATGGCTGATGGTTCATGACACTCTGGAGGTGCATTTAAGGCCTGGGGCGGTATGGGTTGTGCACCCCAGTATTTGCGTTGTGTGCCCCTACTTAAAACCAGCACCTTCCATCCTGTCTGGGGAGTAATAGGAAGTAGTGCAGATGCTTAGCTCTTGCTTAGGAGATGTGCTTGCTCACCATTTTTGATAGCAGCCCATGACAGCACTCAAGTTCTACCGATATTGATTTAGTTTGCAAGAGATGGACATGCCTTCTTTTCACTTACTTGGTAGCTAAGAAAGTTCTCAGCAAGTATTCCAAAAGATGTCCTGTTGCTGTCGTGGTCTGGGAGCTATTTATGAGCATCCAAGTTATTTTATTTTCCACAGGGATCTTGTGAATCAGAAATTCCATGCATCTTGCAGCACAAAGCTTTTAAATGATTGCTTAAGTGAAATGTGTCTTCCAATAGCTGCACTAATACTATTCAATTCATAGGGAACATTACACGATGGGAACAATCCCACAAAAGCAAAGTGTCCTAAATGCATTATATGTGGGAAGGGAGTCCAGGTGTTCCAAGAGGTAGAGGAACTGTACTCCTGTGCTCACTGCTGATGTCATATGACTTTCTGGACCCTGTCCCCAGTGTCTAAAATATTGTGTGAAGATGCCAGATCCAAGGAAGCCTCCCCATACGGGCCTTTGTGTAGTCTTCCACAGGAATTAGGACTTCAGCTGAAGGTTTTCAAGCTCCAGCCAAAGACTATACTTGCTGTCTTTCCCTGGATCAGACAATTGCATATAATGGTGTGGATGGCAAGGATGAGATCAAGGCAGCTGTATGATGAATGTGGGGCTGGCATCACAGCAACCCATTTCATTGTCTGGATCCTCTTCAGCCATATAACTTGGGATGGGAGAGAGTCAACACTTGTTCACATGGATGTAAGTTAGCAGCTGTGACAGAATCTACTTCAGTTGTTATGAATTGGACACAGCTGCTGAATACAGTGTTTTGCCAGACTAAGATGTTTTCATCTTTTTAGTTGTCACCTGAGCAGCATGAGGTATGATACTCTTACACAATAAATTATTCAGTGTTCAATGGGTTTATCCATTCTGAATACCCCATTTTCTTCATGTGTAATAATGTTAGCAGGATCAATAGGAATCAATGTTCCCTATCAGTTTGGAGGCCAAAAGTTAAAACTCTTGTGTCTAATCACTGAAAGTTACACCTAGTGTATGAGCTTGAATGTGAAGTCTTCCAGACATACCAGAAGATTCTGGCAACTGCCAAGTTAATACACTTACAAAATTGAGTAGAAGGGACAGTGTAAAATTTACACTGTAAATAGTGAATTATCAGGTAATGGACTGATGACTGTGGATTTAATAGTGTCTGTATCCTTTCCACCTCAAAAAGAAGTATTGATTGAGCAGCAGAGGCACAGGCTGGGAGAGAGTGCTGAGTGGCCAGGGGACTGGCGAAGGCAAGGTAGGAGCTGGGCAGAGAAGCAGAGGGTCAGGAGCAGCAGAGAGGAAGGGGGTGGGGCCAGAGAGGCTGGAGGGGCCAGGAGGAAGCGGACAGGTGGGGCCACCGGCCTGAGGGACTGATAAGGTGTCGTCCCTTGTCTGCGTCCCTTAGCTGCGGCCTGGGCTGCCCGGGGACTCCCCTCGGAGTCTGAGGGTTTTTGTTTGTCTTGTTCTATTGGGGTTTTTTTAATTGCTCTGTCCTTCCTTCCTTTCGTGCTGTTCTGTGCTGTGCCGTTCTGTGCTATTCTGTGCTTTGCTTTGCTTTTCCTCCAATTTAAATTTTATTTTATTCTTGTGTGTGTGGGTGGGTTTTTGTCTGAGAGAACTGGGCGAGTGAGGGATACTGCAGGACAGACAAGGCGGGGGACCAAGGTAGGGTCTTGGAAGAGTTCCCAATGGCAGACCAGGTGATGGCCTTGGCAGGAGTCATGGGTGTTGCTGTCTGCTGTGACATGTTTGCCCTTCTCCCCCAGGAGAGGCAGGGTTATACTTGCTCTCGGTGTAAGCTGGTGGTCCTGCTAGAGGAGGAGTTGAGGTGCCGGAGGGCCGAGAGAGCTCTCCAGGCCCTCCGGGAGCAGCCCCCTCTGGACAGAGGGTTGAGGGAGAGGCCAAGGGAGGAGCAGCCGGGGAGACATGAAGGCATGTCACCCACAGGAGGAGGAGGCCAGCACGACCTTCTCCTGGCACTGATCTGGAGCTGGGAAACAGGTTCTCTCCACTTGGGGAGTCTGGGGCTGATGAGTCCTTGAGTGACCAGCAGGACCCCCAGCCTGGGATGACAAGCGGCAAGGGGGCCAATGCAGGAGAGGTGAGGGCCAGGGCACGACTGCTCACCACCACCAGGAAGACGTGGTGGGTGGTTGTTGGGGACTCCCCGCTGAGGGGCACTGAGACAGCAGTGTGCCACCCCAACCTGGAGACAAGGGAGGTTTGCTGCCTGACGGGCGCACAGAGTGGAGCGACTTGTTTGCTCTGGGGGTCGCCAGCCACTCCTGGTGATCCATGTGGGCATAAACAACGTGGCCAGGCAGGGTGTGGTCAGGATCACCAGGGACTTTGAACTCAGAGAGCTAAAGGCCCAAGTGGCCTTCTCATCGATCTTACTGGTCCGGGGATTTGGGCCAGGAAGGGACAGGAGGGTCTCCGAGGTGAACGACTGGCTTAGGGTGTGGTGCCAGAAGGAATGCTTCGGGTTCCTCAGCCACGGCACTAGGTTTCTTGCAAGGGATGAGTTACATCTCACGAGGATGGGGAAAAGGTCCTTTGGAGATGCTCTAGCGAGCTTCGTCTGGAAGACTTTAAACTGAGCCGGGGTGGGTGGGTTCAGTCCCCCCAGAAACATGTCTGCACTGGACAAGTGTGGGGAGAGGATCAGGGCTCTGGGAGCAGGGTTTTAGAGGTACTGCAGCGACTGACCGGATTCCTACAGAGAGGGGCCAGGTATCAGGGAGGATGGAAGAAAGGAGGAGGCTGGGAACTCCAAGGAAAGGAAGTGGTGGGAAGGAGTTGAGGTGCATGTACACCAATGCTAGGAGCATGGGTAATAAGCAGGAAGAGCTTGAAGCTCTAATGGGAATAGGAGGGTATGACCTGGTGGGAATCACAGAAACTTGGTGGGATGAAAGGCAAGTCTGGAATGTGAACATAGAAGGGTATCACCTTTTTGGAAAGGACAGGAAGGGAAAGAGGGGTGGGGGCGTGGCTTTATACGTCAGGGAAGGGATAGGAAGCAATGAGATAGAATGCAGCACAGATGGGGATTCAGTAGAGGCAGTCTGGGTAAAACTTAGGGGTTTTGACAGGGAAAGAGACCTGACAGTGGGGGTATGTTATCACCCTCCAGGTCAACTTGAGACCCTGGATGATGGCCTGACAGACCAGATTCTAAGGATATCTTGTGAGAGAGACACAGCAATTATGGGAGATGTCAATCTCCTGGATATTAGTTGGGAGACTCACTTGGCGGTGACAGCCAGGTCACGTCGCTTCTTAGAAGCTATAGAGGGAGGGTTTTTCACACAGAGGGTTCAGAAGGCAACAAGAGGGGGAAACATCCTTGACTTGGTCTTGACCAATAGAGAGGAGCTGATAGATGAAGTACAGATTAGGGGAGCTCTGGATGCGAGTGATCACTCCATCCTTTGCTTTGAGATCAGGGGACTGGAGACATGCAGCAGGTCGACCACTAGAAGCTGGGACTTCAAGAGGGCCAACTTTGGCCAACTGAAGGCCAGACTGGGGAAAGTCTCCTGGGATAGGTTACTGGAAGGTAAGCGAGTTGAGGAGGGCTGGATGGCACTCAAAAGGGAGGTTTTGGAGGCGCAAGCCTTGACGATACCTCTAGTTAGTAAGGTGGGGAGGCGGAGGAGAGCGCCACCATGGATGCGAAAGGAGGTGGTTAGAGGGATTAGATGAAAGAAGAACCTCCGCAGGAAATGGGTACTGGGGGAAATAGACAAAAGGGTATACTGGGAGGAGGAGGCCCGTTGCAGAAGGATTCTTCGCAAGGCTAAGGCTGATTATGAGTTGAGACTTGCCAAGAATATCAAGAGCTACAAAAAGGGCTTCTTTCAGCATGTAAATAGGAAGAGGAAGAGGAAGGGGAGACAAGTGGTGGGACCGCTAAATAAGGAGAAAGGAGATCCAGTGACTGATATGAGGGAACAGGCACCAATGCTAAATGACTATTTTGCCTCTGTATTCTCCCTAAAGCAGGGTGGGGGGATATCTGCATAGGAGATTAGATGAGGTTGGGGACTTAGGGGCACAGATTAGAGTCACCTCCCTTGAAGTCAAGGGGCTCCTCAGGACATTGGACATTACAAAGGCGCCAGGCCCTGACGGGCAACGCCCAAGAGTACTTAGAGAGTTGGTAGGGGTTCTCTCACGCCCGCTGGCCTCCATTTTTGAGGCCTCATGGAGAACGGGTTAAGTTCCAGAGGACTGGAGGGTGGCATCAGTGGTCCCAATTTTCAAAAAGAAGGGACATAGGGAATTACAGACCTGTTAGCCTTACGTCCATTGTAGGAAAAACAATGGAAAGGCTCATAATAGAGTTCTAGTGATGCTAGATAGGGAACAGAGGCTGGCAGCCACACAACATGGCTTCCACAAAAACAGGTCCTGCCAGACAAACCTTGTGGAATTCTATGACAAGGTTTTGAGATGGCTAGATGGAGGGGATGCAGTGGGTGTGGTTTACCTGGATTTCAGCAAGGTCTTTGACCAAGTGCCCCATGATATCCTGGTGGAGAAACTGAGGAGTTTTGGGATACATCAAAGCACTGTCTGGTGGATTAGGGCATGGTTGACTGACCGAAAGCAGAGGGTAACCATCGGTGGGGAATCATCGGGATGGCGGCCA